GTTATTCTCTCACATCAGTCAGAATGGCCATTATTAAAAAGTCCACAGATGATAAATGCTGGAGAGGGTGTGGGGAAAAGAGAATCCTACACTGTTGGTGGGAATGTAGTTTGGTGCAGCCACTATGGAAAACAGTATGGAGATTTCCTCAAAAAACTAAGAACAGACTTACCACATGATCCAGCAATCACACTGCTGGGCATATGTGTGGAGAGAACCCTGTAATTCGAAAGGCTACATGCATCCCAAAGTGCATACCAGCACTATTTACAACAGCCAAAACATGGAAACAACCAAAAAGTCCATCTACAAATGACTGGATAAAGAAGTTGTGGTATATTTATACAATGGAATATTACCCAGCCATAAAAAGGAATAAAATAATTCCATTTGCAGCAACATGGATGGACCTGGAGAATGTCATTCTAAGTGAAGTAAGCCAGAAAGAGAAAGGAAAATACCATATGATATCACTCATATGTGGAATATTAAAAAAAAGACACAAAACTTATTTACAAAACAGAAACAGACTCACAGACATAGGAAACAAACTTATGGTTACCAGGGGGTAAAAGAGGCTGGAAGGGATAAATTGGGAATTTGAGATATGCAAATACTTACTGTATGTAAATTAACAACAAGTTTCTACCCTATAGCACAGGGAACTATATTCAATATCCTGTAGTAATGTATAATGAAAAAGAATATGAAAAGGAAATATATGTATGTATATGTATGACTGAAACATCATACTGTACACCAGAAATTGACACAGCATTGTAAGCTGACTATACTTCAATTAAAAAAAAGTTATTTCCCAAAATGGTTCTAGTAAAATGGCTCCTGAAAAGGTGGTTAGGGAAAAACTAAGGGCCATTCTGTGTTCTATAAGGTAGACTAGAAAAGATATTATCAATATTCACAAATATATCAGTGGACTGGAGTTCAAGAAGCATATATCTCAGGCATTCAAGGAGCTTCAGAAATTCACCATGAAGGAGATGGAAGCAATAGATTTGCACACTGATACTAAACAAGGCAGTCTGAGCCAAAGGAAAAAGGAATATTCTATACTTATCTGAATATGGATGTCCAGAAAGCCCTAAATGTTATGTTTCTCAGTGTATTTGTCACCTTATAAAATTTAGTCAGCATAAATGAAATAGCTTATTATAATAAAGTGATATATCAAAAAATTTTCATTTCCCCCCTGAGTTGTGAAATTCTATATATAAGACAATAATTCAGGAGGGAACTACTGCTCCCTAATACTGTTTAACTACTGTTAAATAACTGAATTATAAATGCACTAAATATACATACATATACTCACCATTCCTTAATTCATGTAATACTAAAAGGCACCAAGAAAATGCACATGGCATAAATTTATTCAGTGCCAAACTGAGGTTTTCTTCATTGATATCTTGCTGTTGTCTAATAGAATTACCACTCATCTAGAACAGAGCTAAAACATTCTGAGTAAACACCATTTGACTACTGTAGTAGTTTTTTTCATTGTATGTTCATGACTGAAATTATTTTGGAATTTGTTGTTCAATGGCTACTCTACATCTAATTTTATCATCAGAATTATGTTAGTCTTTTAGCATGAACGAACAACTTTTCCATAGGATTTTCTGTTCCTTCGGGAATAGCCTGAACAATTATCTGGTACTACATAATTCAAAAAAAAACATTTTTTCCTCAGTTGATCCTTTTTATTTACTCTCAAATTTTAATCATTTAAAAATATTTTCCTAGAGAATAAACTATACCTTCTATATTTTAAAACTGTGTCTAACACACTTTATATATACATATAATAAATATATATATTTATATATAATATATATATAATAAATATATATATATATATTTACATGACCTTCAAAAATTATATAACATTTCTCCCTTCTTACAATGTGGAGGCACTGCCAAAATCTAGCAAATAACACTTTTCTTCAAAGAAACATTTTGGTTTAAAATTTTAAAATCTTCTCTATTGTTCTTCCACATTTTTGCATTATTTTCATCAAACCTTTCCATCATTTGGGGCAGTTGCTCTTATTTTAGCTTGTTTATTTGAGTAATCATTATTTAATCTGACAAATATTTGGACCCCACAATACTACAGGCACTGTTCTAAGAGCTGGAGATACAGTGGTGACAAGAAAAACTGTCCTCAGATCTTCCTGGTTTTATACATAGAGCAGTTTCCATTGAGAAGTGCTCTGGTCACATTCATAGATTTGATTTACCGGAGGTCTCATTATCATTCACATCCAAATAGCCCATAATTTCACTTCTGATTTACTCATTAACCTGAGAATTGTTTACATATGTAGCATTAATCTTCCAAGATGTTAGAATTCATTTGGCCATTCTCTAATTTCTAAATTTTAATAGCGGTGATAAAATGGTTATGATGTCTGGCTTTAGAAATTTATTGGAAACAAATCACTTCCAAATGCCTTTAAAAATGCTGAGCACTTAACACCAGCACTTTCATTAAAACCATCAGGCTTCCTCTATAGTATGAGGGTTTTTTTAATGTAGCAAATGAAATTAAAACTGATTCAAAGTTTTCTTCACTTCATTCTGTTTTACTGATTTTTCTTCAGAATTAACATTCTGCCGTTCAGTAAGACATACATATAGATGGCACATTTCTCTACAATCATTGTACTTTCAAGGTCTTCCTCTCATAGAAATGGTCCAATACTATTGTTAATGATGATCATTAAGTCATTTAAATCCTCAAACTCATTTAACCCTTACAATCTAACAAGTAAGCAAACAGAAACAAAATTGTTACTTTCCAAAAATTAGGAAGTAAGAGGTACTGAAAATAAGACGTGCCAAATAAGTTGCATGACATAACACAAGGCTTTCCCAGGTTAATTACAAAACATAAATTTGCCTTTCATAAGAATCTGTGGAAGTGCAACAAGATTTAAGTAGTGATGGAAGGTTTCTCTATAAGAATTGGATTTAAATTCTGTATCAATGATGTGGAGAATGTTTTGAGAATATTCAAAAAGGATTCACACTGTTATCTCATTCATTTGGTTTTACTCAGATATTCTGTAACTGACAACCAATCAGTAAATGTTCTTCTCCTCTGTTAATACAGATTGCAATAGGAATTCTTTGCTATTGAGTGTTTTGTGCTCCATCAAAAGGTTTTCCAATATTACTTACACAATGGGTTTTCTCAAAAGAAGGAATTAACTGACATCAATTAATGAATCATGAATAAAGACTTTTCTACATTTTTATATCATAAGATTTCACAATAATGAAGTAAAGTGAGAGTTTGGAGAAAATGCTGTCTCAAGATCTTTATATTCATAGGATTTCTCAAAAGTGTAAATATTCTGGTGTTGAGCAAAGTCTGAGTCATGACTAATGGTATTCCCATAGTCTTTCCATTGATACGGATTCTCACCATTGTGAATTTTCTTTTCAGTAAAATATGAATGGTGACTAACAAACTGGTCATTTTCCTTACATTTATAGGATTCTACCTCAGTATGAATTTTCCTATGTCGTGTAAGCTGGGAACCCCAGATAAAAGATTTCCCACATTCTTTACACACATAAGGTTCCTCACCAGTATGTATTCTGTGATGTCGTGTAAGTTGTGAACCCCAGAGAAAGGCTTTTCCACATTCTTCACATTCATATGATCTCTTTCCAGTATGGATTTTCTGATGTCGATTAAGTTCTGAACCACGAAAAAAGGTCTTTCCACATTCCTTACATTCATAGTTTCTCTCACCAGTATGAATTTTCTGATGTCGATTAAACTCTGAGCCATGAAGAAAGGTCTTTCTGCATTCCTTACATTCATAGAGTTTCCTCTCATTATGAATTTTCTCATGTTGAGCAAGGTATGAGGCCCAAATAAAAGTCTTCCCACATTGCTTACATTCATAAGGTTTCCTACCAGTATGAATTCGCTGATGTCGTGCAAGGTGTGAACTCCAGATATAGGCTTTTCCACATTTCTCACATTCATAGGGCTTCCTGCCAACATGAACGTTCTGATGTTGAGCAAGATTTGAACCACGAATAAAGGCTTTTCCACATTCTTTACATTCATGAGATTTCTCACCAGTATGAATTCTCTGATGTTGGGTTAGATGTGAGCCACGAGTAAAAGCCTTCCCACACTCCTTACATTCATAAGGTTTTTCACCAGTGTGAATCCTCTGATGTTTAGTAAGATGTGATCGCTGACTAAAGGCCTTCCTACATTCATTACATTCATAGGGTTTCTCACCAGTATGAATTCTCTGGTGTCGAGTAAGGTCTGAGCCACAACTAAAGGCCTTCCCACATTCCTTACATTCATAAGATTTCTCACCTGTATGAATACGCTTATGGACACTAAGTTGCGAATGAAATCTAAAGGCCTTCCCACATTCCTTACATTTAAAAGGTTTTTCACCAGTATGGATTCTCCTATGACCAGTAAGACTTGAACGCAAACTAAAAGACTTCCCACATTCTTTACATTCATATGTTTTCTTAGCAGTGTGAGCTGTCTGATATTTAGTAAACTCTGAATTGGGAAGAACAATCTTGCCACATTCCTTATTGTCACAAAATTTTTCACCAGTTTGAATTAACTGTTGTTGAATACAGTCTGAGCCAGAATAAAAGGCTGTACTACACTCTTTAAATACATTCAGTTTCTTTCCTATATCAAGTCTATGATGCAGATTAAAAGCTGTGTCCTGGTTAAAAGTGGGAATTTTTTCACAGGAGAGTAAAACATGCTTAAAACATTCTTCCTGATTTTTCTGTAGTGTTTCAAACCGACTTTTGCTCTCCCAATCACCTCTAAAACATAAACATTCAAGACTACGTTTTTTACAAATTTCCATTATTTCCCATTGAGGAAATTCTCTGTGAAAAACGCCATTTTTTGGTGATAACTTCTTGGTCTGACACCTGGACTGCATGTCTGAAAAATAAGAAGATAAATTCATACAGTTTTACTGTTCAAAAAAATAAAATTTCCAATGCTGACATAAGAGTTGAATCCTAAAATAAACAGAGCATATGAAATGTGAATGGGTTTAAAAATTCTCAAATTCTGGGCAATATGAAAAAAGCCTAAAAAATAAATAGAAAATTTAAAAGAACTGATAAAAGTTGAGGCAGGTGATTAGATATATAAAGTTTTGTTTGGGTCAAATTCATCTGAGGAGTTCAACAACAAAAAAAGATTGTTCAGGTACTACCCCAATCATGGAATACCACTTAAAGATTTAAGACTGTTTCACCCAGTATGGTATAATCAACATTTAGCACATGTTAAGCATTAAAAGATTAATTCTCTAAAAAAAAAAAAAAAGAGGTAAGTGCCATTCTTTTTCTCCAGTGAGAAATTTATCCATGGTTTGAGTCATGTTTCTTCCCATTTCTCTTTTTTTTCCATTTGGATATTTGTAAATTTCTTCACTCCCTAAAAAAAATTTTGACCCTGTTTTTCATTTTATCTGCTCTCTCTTAAATTTTTCTTATTTTGCCTAATTTCTCCTTGCTTCAGCATTTGCTTCATTAATTCTTTCTTTTAAGCAATGTTTATTTGGTTAAAGGGCTTGTGCACAGACTCACTCACCCCAAGACTCAGGGAAATAGCAGCAGGTTGAAAAATGCCTAGTCCATAATCGGAGATTCATTTGGTAAAGCATCTACTGGAATCCACTGGAACTCTCTCCAGGCGTGGAGGTGCTGGTGAGGGCCATTTTTGTGCTCTCCCTCTACCCTGCTAGCACCAGTGGGTGGTGCTACCCAGAGCCCCAGTCAAGCTCGTGACTGGACTTGCCCCAGCCCAGTGTGCCCCACGGCCTGACCCAACCCATTGGGTGGTCTTGCCCTAGCCTGGTGCCCCCTCTTGTGGCCCCACCCAACACAAGTCCAGTCAACACAGGGGATGACCCAAGCCCACTCCCAGGTGCAGTCCACAAGGGGACAGGCCTTGAATGCCTGGCTCTGAGGGCCAGGAGGGCTTGTTTCTGGGTTCCATGAGACTGAAACAATCAAAGTTTTTGGCAGGCTATTACTCTCAGGGTACTACACAGACAGCAGACTGAAACACAACCCCAGTCTTAACAGTTTTTCAGCAGAAACTTTGCTGGCCAGAATGGGAGTGGCGTGATATATTCGAAGTGCTGAAAGCAAAAAACTTTCAATCAAGAATACTCTACCTGATAAGGTTATCATTCAGAATTAAAGGAGAGATAAAGAGTTTTCCAGACAAGCAAAGGCTAAAAGAGGTCACCACCACTACACTGGCCTTATAAAAAATGTTAAAGGGGCTTCTTTAAGCTGAAAAGAGAGGGCACTAATTAGTATAAAAAATAGGAAACTAAAAATCTCATTGGTAAAAATAAATATATACTAAAGGTAGTGGACTAAACACTAATAAAGCTAACATAAAAGCTAAAAGACAAAAGTAATAAAGTCTGTAACTACAATAATTAGTTAAGGGATACACAAAATGAAAAGATGTAAAATATGAAACCAGAAACAAAATGTGGGAGAAGGGGAGTAAAACTGCAGAGTTTTAGAATGCATTCAACTTAATTTGCTATCAACTTAATATGGACCATACACACACACACTGATATCTGTAAGCCTCATGGTAGCCACAAAGCAAAAACGATAGTAAATACGGAAAAGATAATGAGAATGCAATCTTATTTAAAAAAAAAAACAGTAAAGAAAGTCATCAAACCACAAGGGAGAAGAAAGAAACAAGATATAAGAAAGAACAGGCAAAACTGCAGTTAGGGAGAACATGTCCTGGCTCTATGTTGAAACATGTGTGAAACAGTTACGGGTGTAAATCAATAGTTACAGGTTGTTTAAGATATTCATACAGTTTTGTATGACTTAAAATAAATTTTCAATGACTAATCAATTAATTATCTTAAATTAGTTGGGCACATGATCTTTTAATTTTAAATCTTTTGGCTGAGGAATTTCCTATGTGAAATACAACTATCATTCCTTGTGGAAAAAGCCCAGGAATAACTGACATGTACCAATAGTGGTAACTTTAGTAACAAAAATGCAAAACAACCTTAATATATAACAATATATTCATAATATGTGAAAATAAACAAAAATAGAAAAGGTACATGGTAGTGTTTAAGGAATAAAAATATAAGACAAAATTATATATACCTTATGGAACACAGGAAGTTTTAAAAGCATTTATTTTGAAATAATTTGTAAAGATAGTCCAAAGAGTCTTCTGTACCCTTTGCCCAGTTTTGCCCAATGAATATATCTTACATAATTATAGTACAATATCAAACCATGAAATAAACATTGGCACAATATATGTGTATAATTTTACATCATTTCATCACATACGTGGATTCCTATAACCACCACGACAATCAAGATACAGAATTAGTCCATCACTACAAAGATGCTCTCTCATGCTATCTCTCCTTTTTTTTTTCAATTGGCAGGGGGAGGTAATTATGTTTTATTTTACTTTTAGAGGAGGTACTGGGGATTGAACCCAGGACCTCAAGCATGCTAAGCATGCACTCTACCACTTGAGCTATACCCTCCCCCTCATACTATCTCTTGCAGTCATAACCACCACCGCCACTGCCCCTTTCCTAACCCTTGGCAGTCACTAATATATTTTCAATCTCTATAATTTTGTGATTTCCAGAATGTTGTATAAATGGATTCATATAGTATGTAAATATTATATGTCAATTACATTTTTGAGATTGGAATTTTTCATTCAGCATGATATCCTTGAGATTCATTAAAGTTTTTCCACATATTAATAGCTTGGAAAAAGAAAAATGTTAAAACATAAATGTAGGTTCTGGAATTTAAAAACATGACTCCAATAAGGAAATAAAATTATTTTTCCCTTGATATTTCAAATAAAAAAGAAGCTCCAAGAGTATGTTACTTCGATCTGAGTCCTGCCCATTACAGGAAATTCATGAATTATCAAATAGTTGCCAAATATACCCCTTGGTTCCTTTTGACAGCCAGAATCTGTCTTTTATGACACTATACTCTCTCCTCATTGTCTTTCATTAGTCCTAACCTCTCTCGTGCCATTTCCTCTTCACAGTAGCCAGAAACCATAACAAAGCAGCCTATTAGGCATTCTCTTAATGTAGAGCCTACTTTGCAGAAATTTATGAAGAGGCTCCAGTCAGAAAAGAATACCAAGTTTCTAAATTGATTACATACTCTGTTAACCCTTCTAAACCTAAAATGAAGTTAGAAAATCAATAAATATTGCTTAAAAGAAAGGATTAATGAAGGAAATGCTGAAGCAAAGAAAAACTAGGCAAAATAAGAAAAATTCAAGAGATAGCAGATAAAATGAAAAAGAGGGTCAAAATTTATTTAGGGAGTGAAGAAATTTACAAATATCCAAATGGGAAAAAAAAAAAGAGAGAAATGGGAAAGAACTTGATCCAAACCACAGATAAATTTCTCACTGGAGAAAAAGAATGGCACTTACCTTTTGTAACATGAAGGAAAAATGAGAACACTGACATGAAGTGGTATTTGAAGGTAAAGAGAATGTTCATTTGGAAATTCACTTTGAAAAGGTTACTTTTATTCCCAGGTCTCAGGCCTTTATCTACAGGTTTTTGGCCTCTGCAGGGGGAATTCTAGAATAGTATTTCAGAGGTGTTGCTGCCTCACTAAACAGCCAGACTGCTATCTGCAGTGATGGTCCCCTTGTGCCTGCTCAGCCCTCACTCACCTGGGCAAGGTCCTCCTGTCTCATTCTTCAAAACCATCCAGGGCTCTTTCCCCTTCTCCAGTAAAGAGAACACATCTGGCTGATAAATGCAAAGTCCTGATCAGAAGATAAGAAATAGGAAATTACCACATGGTAAGGCTTCTGTAAGTCCCTTAGTTTTTAGGAAGGGCAAGAAAAAGGCATAAAGGATTTGTAAAGAATAGGGAGGATGGAGGTTCCCAATGATGATGACTACTGCCAAACTTATAAAGCATAAACCATTTTCCTAGAAATAGGTCAGAAATCCCACTAGACACTTGAAAGACAATCCAAAAACTCACAATGTACAAATCAGGAATTTATGGGGTCAAAATCTGAATCTTACCCAGTGAGACCATGTTGCTGTAGTTCTCCAACATCACATCTCTGTACAGACCTCTCTGCTCCAAGTCCAGGCACTCCCACTCCTCTGGAGAGAAGTCTACAGCTACGTCCCTGAACACCATCAACTGCTGAAATGACAAACCCAAGCATCAATGGTGAAATTAAAAGAAATCTTCCAGATGTAAGAGGAAATGATGGAAAGGGGCACTGCAGGGAATGGTATACATACTGAGCAAAAAACTGGAGTTAGGTGCTTATAGTATGGGGGGAGATAATACAGAAATTAGTGTCCCTGAAGCCAAGTGCCTATATGCTCTTTTGGATTTTTGTTGTTGTTTTTCATTAGTGACTCCTTTTTTTAAAAAAAAATTTTTGGAGGAAGTAATTAGATTTTTATTTATTTATTTTTAGAGGCGGTACTGGGGATCGAACCTAGGACCTTGTGCATGCTAAGCATGTGTTCTACCACTTGAGTTATACCCTCCCCCCATATGCTCTTAAAATCTCCTGTTGTTTGGCAAAACTTTGTTATGATCTACCAGTAATAAACACCAAGACAACAGGGTGGTCACCCAGGATAACAGATATCATATGATTGAGCCCTTTGTTGATCTCACTTACAGGCTACACCAGCCTGGAATAATCAACTTCAGATTTACTATGTGTGAAAAAGTTTTTTTCTCTTAAGTTGAAAAGATTCTTTTTCCAATTTTTAAATTTTTATTTATTTATTTGTTTGTTTTTATGGAAGTACTGGGGACCTGAATGAGGATTCTTAAGAGATACACTCCCTAACTGAATACTATTTTCTGTGAAGAATGCATAAAATCTCTGGGCTCTCGGCTAAGTAGCTGACAATGAACACATGTCTTGCTAGTGATATTAATCTCTCACTGATTTCCTGGAGAGACCCCAGCTCTCTCTCAACTCAACCTTCTACTATACCCTCTATCTAAAAGCATGACAGAGTGCCATTACTAAAGTGAATACCAACCAACACCAACTCCCATCTTTCCTAACTGAAACACCCCATTACATAGAGTAAATAAAAGCTTTCACGTAGTGTGTCCTTTACAGCCACTCAGTTACACCTTGTTGAGCCATAGTTTAGAAAAGAAAGTCTCTACTATTTCCTTTAAGGGAATAATTTCTCCTCCTTCAGTGCTCTGTCAAAGTATTAGGACCCAGGAAGTAGTGAGTGCCATGCTGGAGAGAAGAGGGACATCTAGGGAGGGCACTGCACTGTTTCATGGCTATCATTTACCACACTGAATAGTGATTCAGGTAAGCAGTTTAAGAATAAGGAATAAAAATTTTCACATGGGATATAATTTGGGAGAAGGGCCAATTCCAACTCACATGGGTCATAATTTAAAATTCCAAGAGTTGCTCAGTCTTCTGGATTCCTCTCCCGGTGAAACAGAGCCTTCAGAAAATAGAGCTAGAGGGAAGGAATCATGAAAAGTCAGGCTTTCCTTAGAGATTTCAAATGGACTAAGAACCATTCTCTTCCTTGAAGGAAGGTCCTAGGGAGTCTACAGAAATCCTGGTCCTCAAATGAACTATCTACAAAACAGAAACAGACTCACAGACATAAAGGACAAACTTATGAGTACCAAGGGGTAAATGAGGTGGGGGATAAACTGGGAATTTCAAATTTGTACCTCTTGGAGAGTGATGAAAATGTTAGCTATCTTGATTGTGGTGATGGTTTCACTGGTGTATACATCTATCAAAATTCATCACTGCACATCTGAAATATGTGCAGTCTACATTACAGGAATCATACCACAATAAAGGTGTTAAAAAAAAAAAGGAAATCCTGGTCCTATTCAAAACCCAAGAGACTCAACTCAGGATGAAGTTTCAAAACTGAATCTGAAACAACAAACAAACAAACAAAAACCTGAATTTGAAACAACAACAATAAAAAAAAGATGGAGTTTCAGTCCAATTAGTTATCCTAAATCATGACATGGATCAAGGTATTCTGGATACAAGAATAGAGCATTTGACTTGCTCTGAATACCCTCTTTAACAATATGCACCCCAAGTTAGACATTCCCAAGGGAACTCTCCAATCTGTGTCTGACACTGGGGATTCAGATAAATATGTCGCAGGACCTGCCCTCAGGGAACTCACAGTCAGAAAAGTAAAGAAGCAATCACAATATAGTAAGAGCTAAAGGTTATCATGGCTGTAGAAGAAGGGGAGTCAAGTAGTTCAAAGGAGCCCAAACCAAACTAGTTACTAAGGGAGAGCTTTCTACAGCAGATGGCACTTCAGCTGTCTTCAGGGGCTTACCAGAGAGGACAGGCCAAAGGAAGAATTTTCAAGCAGAGGAAACAATATGTCAAAATTAAACATAGTATCTTTGTGCATTCAAGGAGTACAGGGTTGAAGAAAAGACCAATGACAGATGGAGACTTGTGTAGCAGGGACCAGATCATGAAAACTCCTCAAAGATAGGCTATGGAGGTAAGGCCTTATCTTAGATGTACTAAGAAATCATTTTACATTTTAAAGTAAGGTTTTAAAATATTTCTAATTACAGATACAACAGAGTTGGTGTGTGAGGGCAGAGGAAAGACTGATATACTCAATCTGGGAAGGGGGTGGTTCATGAAAATTTCAGGTGAAGCATATAGTACAAATTTGGTTTAGGAGACAGACGATTTCAGTGGTATAATAGGACTTAAAGTGCTTCGGAAAAAGAATAAAGAGCTGAAGAACAAATTATGCACGGAAATACACTTTGTGTTGGGAAATGGAAAGGACCTGAAAGATTATTATATAGTTTCAGGGAAGAATTACAGTTGACCTTTGAACAACGCCCACCCTCACACAGTTAAAATAGGCACATAACTTTATGGAATTCCTCTATATCCATGGTTCTGCATCTGAGGATTCAATCAACCCAGGATTCAACCAACCAGGGGAACGTGTAGTACTACAGTATTTATTTATTGAAAAAATCCATGTATAAGTGGACCTTCCCGGTTCAAACCCATGTTGTTCAAGGGTCAACTGTAGTTCTAAACCTGACATTACTCCCCTTGGAAACCATGTGGAAAGGAACAAGGAAAATAAAAGTAAATCCTAACCATCAGGAAACAGAAAACCGAAAACTCCAAATTACTTGGAAATGTGGCCAAAAGCAAAGGAAAGAACTATGTAGGAAACCTCAGAGATGCTGCAAAGAAAAATAAGAAATATTCATTCCCATGAGGAGCAGACCACATCCTGAAGCAAGTTTCTATAAGCAGGAATGATACGAAAAGAAGGTAACTGATGGTGGAGGTGGTAAAAGGACGCATGACAATGTCAGGGGGATTCAAGGTGGCAAAACACATAGGCTGCATTCTTTAAAAAAAAAAAAGCTTTACCAAGATATAATTCATATGCTCTACAGTTAACCCATTTAACATGAGCAATTCAATGTTTTTTTAAGCAAATTAATACATGTGCAACCACCACAAGTCTATTTTAGAGTATTTTCATTACCTCAGAAGGAAACCCTATATCCTTCAGCTATTACTCTCCATCCTCTCAGCCCCTTACACTCTCGCTCTGCTTCTTCTCCAACCACAAGTAACCACTAATGTACTTCCTGTCTCTATAGATTTCTCTATTCTGGACTTTCATATGAATGGAATAATATAATATGTAAACTTATTGTGACTGGTTATCACAATTGTGAAAACATTTAACATAATGTTTTCAAGGCTCATCCAAGTTGTAGCATGTACCAGTATTTCACTCCTGAAGTAATGGCTGAATAATTCTCCGCTGAATGGACAGACAACCTTTTGTTTACCTGTTCATCCATTATTGGACATTGAGTTGTTTCCACCTTTTGACTATTATAAATAATACTGCTATGATCATTCATATACAAGCATTTAATACCTGTTTTGTAGTTTTCACAGTATGAGTTTTATACTTCAGTTATTAAATATATTAATAAATACTTTATTTGTTTTGGTACTATTGTGAATGGAACTGCTTTCTTAATTTCATTTTTGGATGGTTCATTCCAAGTGTATAAAAAATACAACTGATTTTATATATTGATCTTGTATCCTGAAACTTTGCTAAACTCATTTATTAGTTCTAACAGTGTTTCTGTGTGGTATTCCTTAGGATTTTCTATACAGAAGATTGAGTTATCTGAAAACAGAGATGATTTTACTTCTTTTCCAGTCTAGATGCTTTTTCTTTTTTTGTTTAATTCCCCTGGCTAAAACCTCCAGTACAATATTGAATAGAATTGGCAAAAGCAGACATTCTTGTTTTGTTCCTAATCTTAGGGGGAAAACACTCAGACATTCACCATTAAGTTAGCTGTAGGATTTTTGTAGATGCCCTATCCAACTGAGGAAATCCCTTTTCATTCCTAATTTATAGTGTTTTTATAATGAAAGTGTATTGGTTTTTGTCAAATGCTTTTCCTATGTTTATTAAAATGATCACATGATTTTTGCTTTTTATTTCTATTGATATGATGTATTACATTAATTGATTTTTGGCTGTTCAGATAACCTTTTGTTCCTGGGATATATTCCACTTACTTGGTCATGTCGTATAATTCACTTTACATGTTGCTGGATTTGGTTTGTTAGTATTTTGTTGAGAGTTTCTGTACTGTACTCATATTTTTATGAGATAAGCTCTGCCTGTTTTGCTATCAAGGTAATACTAGCCTCATCAAATGAATTGGGAGGAGCTTGACTATAGTTTTTAATTACAGCAAAGAAGACACTGTGGAACTCAGAGCTGACAGTAGGAGTCTTCCTGAAGCAGGTTAGGTTCTGAACAACAAAGAAGGCCTGGCTATTCAGAGGGGGTCTCTTTTAAAGAAACTGTCTTCTACTGTAGTAGAGGAAGGAACTCTTGAGTGGAAGAAGCTAAAAAACTACCTTTGCCCTATTCCCCTTTTTCATAGGAAAGTGCCAGTGACAGATCTAAAAAAAAAAAAAATCACATTCCAAAAACAGAAACAAAATTAGAAACACTGTGTCCAAAGATACTGTTAGATAAAATTTTGAAAAGATTGCTCATAAAGAAAACTCACTAAAAAAGTTCAGAAAAGATTAAAATTATTACCCAACATTCCAATATGAATAA